GCGTTAAGTTAGACCAAATACATTTTTTCCATCCTCTTACCTATCGTATTAAAATGTTATTTTACTAATGTTAGGAATATAATTTCGACTGTGTAAAAAAGTTATTATAATGTATACCTATATTATCTCTTGAAAGATAAATAATGAACATATTTACTTATTTGTTTATATTACCTATGTGAACTCCCTATCTTTTTTATACCTTCATAACGATAAGTAGGAGGATGGAAAAAATGTATTTGGTCTAACTTAACGCCAATGCACATTATTTCATTTATTTATTTTTTAATTTTTTTAACTAAACTCTATACCAATTAATTGCTCCTTCAGGATTTATATTTGTTTTTTTTTTCACGATTAAAACCGCGTAGAAAGTTTAAGCATTATAGTTGACGCATGCGCAGTACACATATTTTGCATACATTTATTCAACTAATAAAAATAGTAAATTAAACAAAAAACGAGTAATTTCGAAAGAGAACAAACGTGTTTTATATAAGAACAATCGAAAATGAATATTTACGAGTCATTAAGGATGAAAAAAATATTAAAAATTGCATTAGAGGGGCTAACTTGTAGGTATATTTTTAAATATTTTTTTAAAATAAATAACTGCAGAACAAACAATTATTAACAGTGAACAATCATGAACAAAAGATGAACAAACGAATTAATAGAAAATAAGTATAAAATAGGAAAAAAAAAATTTTTTGAGGGGCTAACTTCATTCACCTCCCTTTATTAGTCGTAGCTAGGCATGCAAAGTATGAATGGAATGAATGAAAGTACGAGATGAATAAATGCGAGAACAGGTATGATAAAGAGGCTCGGAATTTTTAAGACCCTTATGGGCAGGAGTATCAATTATAATTAAAATTAAAACAAAAAATGTAAATAAGAATCTCTGGCTTTGTTGTTTGCTAGAGGTACGAACCAAAAAATTATAATAATTAAAAAAATAATAGAAGGAGGTAAATCATAGATAATATTTTTGGAGTTTCACTTTGTTGGAGTTTGAGTATAAAAGTAATAGCCGGCAACACTTGACACATATAAGATTACAGATTTCGAATATTGGAATGCTTTTAAATGTTTAAATCAAACGATTGTCTTCTCGTCAGTGAAGACAAAGACAATTAAGTGTATAATCTATGGACAAAGACTTCTCAATATATTAAGTGATCTTTTATTATTCTTTGATTAAATCTATGATCTAGACACGGACATCTAAGAGTTTTATAAAGATAAAATATTATAATGGTGTAACAGTGTTCAAAGTATTTGCAATATAATTATAATGAAATAGTGTTTTCTAAATAGCCCCTCAACACCTACAGAACCCAGTCACCTCAAATTTAGCCGTCCAACACACTTGATAAAACACTACTATAATAAAGCAATGTTTTCAAGACATAGCATAAAATATAATAATGATAGGTGGTAAAAATGACAATGTGTTCGAAGTATATTTCAAAATAATCGAATATAGAAAAGAAGGTTACAACATTCCTCCCTATCTACATCTCGTTGATCAGACGGCGGGGTGCCTGTATACGTCGATTACTTCGACGCGGAGCAAATGGCACAGGAGTGGAGACCGGAGCAGGTGAGGAGTATAATTGCGAATGCTGTGAAGGTGAATTTGGAGAAATTTGTACATTTGTAGGCGACTGCGGTGTAGGTAATGGTACAGCTGCCGAATTCTTGTTTTTAGTTAGCCTTTCGCTAATTGTTGTTTCCATTCCAATGTCTGGAGAAGCAGTCGCCGCCAGCATAGAAGAATGCGCCCTTTCATTCCTCGGGGTTTCTGAGGTGGAGGACTCGCGTGGCCTGATGTGATCAGCATGTCTTCGTTTTTCTAGTCCTCCTGGTGTTGAAACAATATATGAATATTTATGTTTTCGGGATGTAATTACCGCTGGTTCCCATATTTTATCATTGCGTGTTTTAATATATACTTGGTCACTTGGTCGGTAACTCGGTGATGTGGTACGAATATTTTCTTTTACTTGTAAATACTGCATTAATCTTCTTTTGTCTGGCCGAATGTTGGAAAGTATGCAATTCAATTGTCTTCCAAACATCATCTCAGCTGGAGATTTACCAGTGGACGAGTGCGGAGTGTTTCTGTATGTAAACAAAAATTCTAATAGTCGGCGCTCGAGATTTGTGTTGTCTACCGATGCCATTCTATTTTTGAATGTTCTGACTAAACGTTCTGCCAGCCCATTTGTCCGAGGATGATATGGAGATGATGTGACATGTAAAATAGACTGTTTTGTGCAATATTCTTTAAATTCATAAGATGTAAATTGAGGTCCATTATCGGATATAATCATTTTTGGTAAGCCAAATGTACAAAATATGTTATCTAATGTAAGACAAAGTGATCTNATTGATAAATTTGTAAGCTTATTTGAATATTTGTATCCAGATTTTGGAGGCGATTAAACATGTTGGAGGATATAGCAATTGATTATTCAACATATTTCAAAGTGGACGTGTTGGAAGGATTTAAAACAGTTCAAGATGTTGTTGACAACATGTTAACGAGGCTGGAGGAATTGACGAGTGTTCTTCAAATGGTTAAATTAAAGAACGGCGATTGCTGCAATATTGTGACTGAAGATATAATAAAATATCGTAGAGAGATAAATGTGCTAGGGAAAAGGATTTCGACCCTGTCCAATGTATTAATGTTTTTATCAAATAATGTTGATACAGTTGAAAAACAAGTAGAGAGAGCTGAAGGTTTTTTTGGAGTACAAAATGATAACAAATTAAAAAGTCTTCTCAAGCCATTCATAAAAAGAGGTAGGGAGACAATACCTGACAATAGTTTGCCTCCTCATCATAAAATAGATTTGAGTAGTGTAATGGACAATTTTCAAAGCATGTAACATGAGTTCAAGTTTTAAAAGTGATACAATGCTTAGTGCATGTTGGGATAGAAAATAATAAATGAATGTCATAGGCACATACCTTTGTTTCATTTCGTAAAGCACTGCCTAATTATTATTGTTTGAATCACTTAATATGAAAATCAGCTGAAAGTAGAATAACAGTTTGTGAAGTTTTATACTTTATTTTGTTTATTTATGTACACACAAAAAAGAAGACAGTACAGAGTAATAGGAAAATTATGTACAAAAGTACACTTGGCATACTTGTAATTTTTTGAAATGACCACTAGACCATTCAAGTTAGAATAGGGAAAAAAACCGAGAGTATGAATATAAAACATGAATCGTTTGGATCTAGAAGGACTGGGTGGCTCAGTTTTGTAGTAAGTTTTACAGAGAGTGCTCTAAATAAGTTTTAGATGATTTTGTCACCTTGTTGCTAACATTACACCAGTCTCCTGTGTGCTTAGCCAAAGTATATCCTCAAAGCCCTTTTTTGTTATACGCTTCCTACCTGGATCTGAGATAAACCCTCCAGTATTACTTAATGTTATGACAACCTACTTCCAATGGTTGTTTTAAGCAGCTGTGCCTTTAGGCAGTATGGATGTCCAAGTTTGACAGTACCTAGCCACTGCATTAGGTAGATCAAATTTTACAGAGATTGCATGGAAGTTTTTTTTTATTGCCTATATGGGTGGATGAACTCACAGCCCACCTGGTGTTAAGTGGTAACTGGAGCCCATAGACATCTACGACGTAAATGCGCCACTTACCTTGAGATAAGTTCTAAGGTCTCAAGTATAGTTACAACGGCTGCCACACCCTTCAAACCGAAACGCATTAATGTTGCAACGGCCGAAATAGGCAGGGTGGTGGTACCTACCCGTGCGGACTCACAAGAGGTTCTACCACCAGTAATTACGCAAATTAAAATTTGCGGGTTTGATTTTTATTAAACGATGTTATTCCTTCACCGTGGAAGTCAATCGTGAACATTTTTGTTAAGTACGTATTTCATTAGAAAAATTGGTACCCGCCTGCGGGATTCGAGCATCGGTGCATCGCTAGATACGAATGCACCGGACGTCTTATCCTTTAAGCCACGACGACTTTGAAATACCTAGGTTTATCTAGGAACTTGCTTTACAATAACTAAAGTTAAATATCTTTCAACCCTATGGAGTTAACAAAAAGCAAAAAGTATTAGAATTGACTTTTTCAAGAGAACAGATACACTTTGGCAGGTTTTGAAATTTCTTAAGGGCTAGGAACAGAGTGATTGTTCATTTTGAATCTAAGCACATTTCAGTATATTTTGCCTTGCAATACAATAAACAGCAAAACCGTACATCGACGTCCATAAATTGTTGGACCTATTTGGCATATTGGTGACTTAAAGAGCAGTATCACACTGGATAGTCAGTTATCAGACGCGGGTTGCAATCTTGCCAACTATGTGAAACTGCCAGACGTATTACTTTCATCTGAGCCTCTGCAGAGCATTGTTAGCAGCATTATTAAATCCCTACCTACTTTACCCACTGAAGTGTAAGACCTATAATGTACTTTACCTGAAAGCAACCCAAGATATGGTTGTTGGTATCCAAGAATCCTGATTTTGCCAAGGTTTACCTGTTTAGACAAAATAATTGTGACCCCTATGCCTATAACAACATAGTCTTTTGTAGATAATAGACTATATTATACCACCCAACTTGAATAGCAAATATTCTGCTGGTGAAACTGGAATGCATATAAGAGAGAGAGAGAGAGAGAGAGTTCTCTCTCTTTATTGCACACCAAAACACAATTTACAGCAAAATATAAGCTTTGTCATAAGAATTTCACGGTTGGTGGTAACCACATCCAGATTATCAATATTCCCTACCACCAGTACATGTTAGTTAATTGCTGTTACTTGTTCTCCAGCAAATCCCTCTTTCAGTTTACACTTATTCACATCTGCAAAAATTGATGGAATGGTACTATGCTGACACTATACTGCCAGTAGCTGAATGAAGTAATTGAAAACATTTAGGAAAAAAGCAATCTGATACAAAAATTCTGTAAAAATTTCAGTTCATTTATTTGGTGATGAAACATTAAGTAGAAATATCATTGATAGATAGCTATACAATGCAACTGAAATTGAAAATGTTTCTAAAAATTAGTTTAGACTGTTTTTCGTACACTTTTAAGAAATTAAAGTTTACATAAGTTTATAAATTGCTTATAGAATAGATAAAAAAAATATGAACAAAATTGAAGTATTTCTCAATGCTTTCTATTTTCTATTTTTTTCCTGTGGAGCCAAATCCACCATCACCCCTTTGAGTTACAGACAAATTAGCAACTTCCTGTAACACAGGATAGTAGATCTTCTCACAAATAAGCTGTGCAATTCTGTCTCCTTTTTTCACACTAAAATCTGTGTCCGAGTGATTAAAAAGAACAACTCCAACATTACCTCTATAGTCCTCATCAATAACACCGGCTAGAACAAAATTTTACAAACGTTATGTAGTTAGTTGTTATAAAATAGTTTGAAAAAAATTGTGGCTATGAATGAATTAGGGACTTACCACCAACATCAATGAAATTCTTCAGAGCTAAACCAGATCGAGGTGCTACTCTACCATAACACCCAGGCGGTAGTTCTATTTGCAGGTCAGTTTTCACTAATTCTTTGCCTCGAGCAGGAACAGTGTAATCATATGCACTGAAAATACATTGACTTGTAAACGTGCACTTAGTGTTACGTTACAATGTGTGATATATCAATTCCTCTTACCTCATTAAATCGATCCCAGCTGCTTTTTCAGAGCCTCTGACTGGTTGAAAAGCATTTTCACTGAGTCTAGTAAACTTTAGAATAGGTTGGATTTTACCAGACATTTTGAATATTGAATAATAATATTGAATTAATCTTTAAAGCTAAGATACGCTTAACATCAAAAATGAAATTACTAGAATGTAAGTTTATGATAATCTTAAATAAAATTATTAAGCACANATCCCAGCTGCTTTTTCAGAGCCTCTGACTGGTTGAAAAGCATTTTCACTGAGTCTAGTAAACTTTAGAATAGGTTGGATTTTACCAGACATTTTGAATATTGAATAATAATATTGAATTAATCTTTAAAGCTAAGATACGCTTAACATCAAAAATGAAATTACTAGAATGTAAGTTTATGATAATCTTAAATAAAATTATTAAGCAAGTGCAAACATTTAAAATAAAAACAAAAACGGTAGTAAGCAATGTTTGAAAGGAAGAGTTATTGTAAACTAGTTACTTTATATGATATTCCTTATTAACAATGAAATGGGCAAACTACTTTTCAATTTTCGTCGGAAGGAAATTAATCGCAGCTGTTATTCTCTTAAGACAAAAACATCTAACATTAATGGACAATAGTATTTGTTTGTGGCGGAAATTGGCGCGAAATGTGTACTAACAATCAGTAGGCGGAATTGCCAGTAACGGTTTTTTTTTATTTGGACCCAACACCAAGTGCTATTTGCCACTTATAAAATAAAGGTTAGGAAGCAAAAAGCAAATCAGAAAAAATAAAAGTTAGGTAAGGTTTAGGCAGGAAAATTGGATTAGGATTTTAGGAATAAATAATAAATATAATTTGAGGTTAATACTGTTGAAGAATAAGATAGAAAGGATACATAACTTAGTGATCATAAAGAATTTAAAAAAAGTGAATGAACAAAAGAGGACATGATAGGATAATGTGATTTAAATCACCAATGCCCGCGCCGCATTCACACTTACTGCTATCCAGCATTTCGATCGTCGCTAGATGTGCCGGACTACATGCGTGCCCTAATCTCACGTTTAAATTATCATTTGTTGAACCATGGTTTAAAAGGAATGGCTGGTTGTACTTTTCGGTGATATTTGGCTTTAACCCCATTACACTGCTGTGCACTCCAAGCATTATTTAAATATGTTTTAGGAAGGCTAACCAAATCATGACTATAATTTTTGAAACAATATATATTACCACAATTTATAGCCTATTTCAAAGTGGGTGGTGCCATTAACAGTAGATAGTGGTTAGGTGGTTACCTTGAGCTCGTCCACCCATCTAAGAAAAGCCTTTCTTTAGATATATATATAGCGTTCTTTCGTTAATGAATCACATTTTTTTGAATCGATGTTGAATTGAAAAAAAATATTAATTTAAATAATCGCATTAGTAACAGTTTTGTTAACACATTACTAAATAAATAATTACTTAGCTCATTGATAACAAATGCTACGTCAACCAGCATATTGTTTTAGCATCGGCTATGTAAATTATATTAAAATGCTATGTAAATTATATAAAAAAATATTATTAAATGTTTTCCGAATTAGCCTATAATTTTGCTATCTGGCTTACTTTGATGTTTCAGAGACTCGATACTGACAGAAATGCATTATGTCAAATGGCAAATAGTTTTAATAAATTAAGTTTGATTTGTTATTTTAGTTTAGATTTAGGTTTAAATGAGTAAAAATTTCATAAAGTACAATACTTTGCACCATTTTGCTGTAAGGTTACTTTTTAATTACTTTTCAAATTACTTTTCATATGAGACCTACGGTGCTATTTTTGCTAACCTGACTTAATATCGTCTTCTTAACGTATTAACATATGACATCTTAACGCATTTCGTTATTCTTTAATCAAATTATTTCACTTTTAATTCAATACAAATATTTAAAGTTTTGTTCCAAATAATAGAGCGTGTGGGCTATATTCCCTTTCCTTATCTAGTGATCGTTTAAGAAAACTGCTCGTCAAACTGATAAACGTCACACGTCACAATAAAAAAATACAAAATGTCAGAGTAAAGTACATAATGCCTACATAACTACATAAGTTCTTATAAAATAATCAAAATAGTAGATAGGTACCTACTACACATGCAACAGAAAATATTTAAATATGGAAGATCAAGGAGCTAAGAAAATTTTATTTAACAAATCAATGGTTAGTTTTTAAAGTAACAGTATTGCATTACAATTTTATGAAATATTTCATAAGTATTTTTTTGTGTATCTAAGT